AGGAGTGAGGAGGGCTGGTCTGAGGTGGGTTAGGGGACACAGGAGTGATGAAGGTGAGACTGAAGTGGGTCAGGGGACACAGGAGTGAGGCAGGCTGGTGTGAGGTGGGTTAGGGGACACAGGAGTGAGGTGGGCTGGTCTCAGATGGGTTAGGGGACACAGGACTGAGGCTGGCTGGTGTGAGGTGGGTTAGGGGACACAGGAGTGAGGTGGGCTGGTCTCAGATGGGTTAGGGGACACAGGACTGAGGCTGGCTGGTCTGAGGTGGTTTGGGTACACAGGAGTGAGGAAGGCTGTTCTGAGGTGGGTTAGGGGACACAGGAGCGAGTCAGTTGGGTCTGAGGTGGGTTCAGGGCAGAGGAAGTCCTGCAGTGAAGGGTGTCATTCAGGAGTGGGCAGAGACGGACCATTTCAGGTGTGTGGTGTGCTGTCAGTGCCCCAGACAGACCAGGTTACAATGACCGGAAACACACCCCGTGGATTCTGCCAACACCGAGGCTCCTGGTGACTGTGACAGTCACCATCTTTCTTTAATGACTAAACGTGGCCTACTCTCAAATTCCGATGATTCGGCACGCTACACTAAGACCTTTCCTACTCATGTATCAAGCAAAGAAAACATTAAAATCAGATGAAATTTAGACCAAAGATGAACTGAATTTATGATCTCACCTTTGTAAAGTAAAACAGCTTCCAATTCAAAGTTTGCCAAGTTAAATAGGAACAAGCCAGCCGAGCTTCCAATCCACAGACACTTGGTATTCTCAGAAGGCAGGCTAATTTTAAAAGAAAAAGGGAAAATCGCGCTGGTGGCAGTCCTGAAGGCCCACCGCGGCAGCGCTCGGCTCCACATGCCAGCTCAGCCTCCTCACACGCAGGGAGGCACATCATCACTGCCAGCACCTCAAGGGCACCTCCATTTGCTTCTGCACATGACCGGGCCTTATAAGTGATGATTACACTCTGACTAGGCCGATACTGGAGCCCTGTGGCGCAGTGGTTAAGAGCTCAGCTGCTCACCAAAAGGCCGGCAGTTCAAATGCACCAGCTGCTCTTTGGAAACCCTATGGGGCAATTCTACCCCGTCCTACAGGGTCACTATGAGTCGGAATCAGTGGGTAACAACAACAAGCATCCACTGGGTGGCAGAAACAGTTAACGCATTCAGCTGCTGACTGAAAGGTTGGAGGTTCGAGTCCACCCAGAGGCACCTTGGAAGAAGGTCCTGTTAATTTACTTCTGAAAAATCAGCTACTGTAAATCCTATGGAGCACAGTTCTACTCTGACACACGTGGAGATGCCACAGGTCTGAGTAAATGACAACCGGTAAGCACCCACTCACTGTCTAGTGAAGACAGTGCTGACCTGCACGGTTCTCGTTCTTCCACGGCTGACGTCACCGTATAGGACCTGCACAGGTCAGGGCTGCCGTGTGCCCAGTGCACTGCCTGGGCTCTGACGTTATCTCCAACAATCGTCAGGAGACGAAGCTGCCATATGAGGACATAACTCCAAGGAGCGAGTTAACTAACCCAACGTACAAGTCACTAAGAATTTAAACACGGGTCTTTTTATCCTTTTTCAATTAACGAACAAGATAAAGGTTAATAAACCAATTAACAGGCATAATTCTGTCATGCTAGAGGAAACGTGTGTTTAAATTATGGTGTTGGTGAAGAATATTGAATATACCACGGACTGCCAGAAGAATTAACAAATCTGTCTTGGAAGAAGCACAGCAAGAATATTCCTTAGACGTGAGGATAATGAGACTTCATCTTACATACTCTGGACATGTTATCAGGAGGGACCAGTCCCTGGAGAAGGACATCACGCTTGGTAGAGTGTCAGCAAAAAAGGGGAAGACCCTCGACAAGATGGATTGACACAGTGGCTGCAACAATGGGCTCAAACATAGCAGTGACTGTGAAGCTGGCACAGGACCAGGCAGTGTTTACTTCTGTTGTACAGAGTTGCTCTAGGTTGGAACCGACTCGATGGCACCTAACAACAATAATAAAGATGAAATGTAAGCTTTCCAACTGAGCAGCTGGTCTCCAAGTGGATCTTCTACCCAGGTCCTTCCCTCTGCTCACTCCCGACCACCTGCACCCATCCAGACCACACCACCTTCCACTCCAGTAAGGCAACAACCTCCTCCAGACTATTCCCCCTGGGTTCCTTCTTGGTATCTTCCACATGTGGCCTAAACACATGACCTTTAGGACTCAGAGGAGTCCATGTGTTCAGACTACAGCAACACCAAGTGTCTACTCTGCCCGCCTCCCCGCTGTGGTTTCGATCTAGCAGGCACACTTGGACCCTGGTGGGCTCCTGCAGAAACATCACCACGCAGAGGACACAGCCTCTCCAGGCCAGGGAACCCAGAACAACCACACCTCTAAAGCATTCCCTTCGAAGAATGTCCTCGATCACCTACAGAAGGCAAAAGGCTAATCTTTAGATGAACTACCATATTTTTATTTAAAAAAAGACACAGGGGGGCTTCTGATAATAACTCCCAGGGGGAGGGCGTGGTTGGCAAACAAACATGGAAGGCGCATGCTAGCTGTTAAAAATACAGTAGTCATTCCGAGCTCTTTCCAAGGTTATTCTTTTTTTTGAGGGGAGGTGAATATTTTAGAAAACAATTATAATAAACTTTTTTTTCCATTGTACTTTAGATGAAGGTTTACAGAACAAACTAGTTTTTCATTAAACAGTTACACACTGTTTTATGACATTGGTTAACAACCCCACGACATGTCAACACTCTCCCTTCTAAACCTTGGGTTCCCTATTACCAGCTTTCCTGTCCCCTCCTGTCTTCCAGTCCTTGTCCCTGGGCTGTTGTGCCCCTTTAGTCTCATTTCGTTTTATGGGGCTGTCTAATCTTTGGATGAATGGTGAACCCCGGGTGTGACTTCATTACTGAGCTAAAAGGGTGTCAGGGGGCCATACTCTCAGGGTTTCTGCAGTTTGTGTTAGGCCAGTAAGTCTGGTCTTTTTTTTGTGAGCTAGAATTTTGTTCTACATTTTTCTCCAACTCTGTCCAGGACCCTCTGTTGTGATTCCTGTCAGAGCAGTCAGTGGTGGTAACTGGGCACCATCTAGCTGTACTGGACTCAGTCTGGTGGAGGCCGTGGTAGTTGTGGTCCATTAGACCTTTGGATTAATCTTTCCCTTGTATCTTGTTTTTTCATTCTTCTTTGCTCCCAAAGGGATGAGACAAGTGGAATATCTTAGCTGGCCACTCACAGGTTTTTAAGACCCCAGACGCTACTCACCAAAGTAGAATATAGAATATTTTCTTTGTAAATTATTCTATGTCAACTGAGCTAGATGTTCCCTGAGACCATCGTCCCCAGAGCTCTTAACCCAGCAATTTGGTCCCTCAGGGAGTTTGGATGTGTCTGTGGACCTTCCATGACCTTGCCTTGGACAAGTTGTGCTGGCTTCTCCAGTACTGTGTACTGTCTTACCCTTCACCAAAGTTACCACTTATCTATTGTCTATTTGGTGCCCCCCATCCCTCGTAATCAACGAAGATTGTTTCCTTTTGTGTGTAAACCTTGTCATCAGTTTTTATAGTAGTGGTCTCATACAGTATTTGTCCTTTTGTGACTGACTTATTTTACTTAGCATAATGCCCTCCAGATTCATCCATGTTACGAGATGCTTCACAGATTCATCATTGTTCTTCATCGTTGCATAATACTCCATTGTGTATATGTACCATATTTTGTTTATCCATTCATCTGTTGATGGGCATCTAGGTTGTTACCATCTTTTCGCTATTGCGAGCAATGCTGCAATGAACATGGATATGCGTATATCTGTTCGTGTGATGACTCTTATTTCTCTAGGATATATTCCTAGGAGTGGGACTGCTGGATCACACAGTACTTCTATTTCTAGCTTTCTAAGGAAGTGCCATATCGTTTTCCAAAATGGTTGTATCATTTTGCATTCCCATCAGCAGTGCATAACAGTTCAGATCTCCCCGCAGCCTCTCCAACATTTGTTATTTCCAGTGTTTTCGATTCGTGCCAGTAATCCTGGGGTGAGATGATATCTCATTGTAGTTTTGATTTGCATTTCTCTAATGGCTAGGATCATGAGCACTTCCTCATGCGTCTGTTGGTCGCTTGAATGTTTTCTTTGGTGAAGTGTCTGTTCATTTCCTTTGCCCATTTTTTAATTGAAATATTTGTCTTTTTGTTGTAGAGGTGTTGGATTTTCTTGCAGATTTTAGAGATTAGACCTTTGTCTGACTTGTAAACGTCCAAAAATTTTTTCCCAGTCTATAGGTTCTCTCTTTACTCTTTTGATGAACTCTTTTGAAGAGCGTGGGTGTTTGATTTTTAGAAGATCCCAGTTATCTAGCTTATCTTCTGGAGTTTGTGTGTTGTTGGTTATGGTTTGTATCCTTTAGTGCTGTGTATTAGGGTCTCTAGAATTGATCGTATTTTTTTCTTCTATGAACTTTATAGTTTTTGCCTTCATATTCAGGTCTTTGATCCATTTTGAATTAGTTTTTGTATATGATGTGAGGTATGGGTCCTGTTTCTTTTTTTGTAGATGGACATCCAGTTTTGCCAGCACCGTTTGTTAAAAAGACTATCTGTTCCTCCATTTGATGAACTTTGCGCCCTTGTCAAAGATCAGGTGATCGTAGGTGGATGGATTTACATCTGGGTTCTCAGTTCTGTTCCACTGGTCAATGTATCTGTCGTTGTACCCGTACCAGGCTGTTTTGACTACTGTAGCTGTATAGTAGGTTCTGAGGTCAGGTAGTGTGAGTCCTCCAACTTTATTCTTCTTCTTCAGTAGTGCTTTACTTATTTGGGGCTTCTTCCCTTTCCATATAAAGTTCATGATTAGTTTTTCCATCTTTTTGAAGAATGTTGTTGGTATTTGGGTTGGGATTGTGTTGTATTTGTAAATTGCTTTGGGTAGAATTGTCATTTTCACAATGTTGAGTCTACCTATCCATGAGCATGGTATGTTTTTCCATTTATATAGATCCCTTTGGGTTTCTTTCAGTAGTATTTTGTAGTTTTCTTTGTATAGGTCTTTTACATCCCTGGTTAGATTTATTCCTAAGTATATTTTTTAGGGGTTATTATAAATGGTATTGTTTCCCTAATTTCCTTTTCATCGTTCTCTTTATTGATGTACAGAAATCCAACAGATTTTTGTATGTTTATCTGGTATCCTGCTACTCTGCTGGATCTATTAGTTCAGTAGATTTCTCGTGGAGGCTTTAGGATTTTCTATGTATAGTATCATATCATTCGCAAACAGGGACAGTTTAACTTCTTCATTACCAATTTGGATTCCCTTTATTTCCTTTTTTTTGCCTTATTGCTCGAGCTAGGACCTCCAGCACAAGGTTAACTAGGAGTGGAGATAAAGGGCATCCTTGTCTTGTTCCTGTTCTCAGGGGGAATGTTTTCAGCCTTTCTCCATTAAGAATGATGTTGGCTGTTGGTTTTGTATAGATGCCCTTTATTAGGTTGACAAATTTCCCTTGTATACCTATTTTATTGAGAGTTTTTATCAGGAATGGGTGTTGGACTTTGTCAGATGCCTTTTCTGCGTCAACTGAGATGATCATGTTTCTTTCCTTCTATTTATGTGGTGGACTACATTGATTGATTTTCTAATGTTGAACCATACTTGCATACCTGGTATGAATCCTACTTGGTCGTGTTGTATTATTTTTTCATATGATGCTAAATTCTATTGGCTAGAATTTTGTTGAGAATGTTTGCATCTATATTCATGAGATACTGGTCTGTAATTTTCTTTTTTTGTGGTGTCTTTGTCTGGTTTTGGTATTAGAGTTATGCTGGCTTCATAAAAGGAATTCAGAAGTATCCCTTCCTTTTCTATGTTCTGAAATAGTTTGAGTAGTATTGGTGTAAGCTCTTCTCTGAATTTTGGTAGAATTCTCCAGTGAAGCCATCTGGGCGAGGGCTTTTTGTGTTGGAAGGTTTTTTTTTTATTATTATCTTTTCAATCTCTTCTCTTGTTATGGGTCTGTTCAGATTTTCAACATTATTTTGTGTTAGTTTGGGTAGGTAGTGTGTTTCTAGAAATTTGTCCATTTCCTCTAGGTTTTCAAATTTGTTGGAGTATAGTTTTTCATAATACTCTGTTATGAACCTTTTTATTTCAGTTGGGTCTGTTGTAATGTCCCTCATTTCATTTCTTATTTGGGTTATTTGCATCCTTTCCTGTTTTCTTTTGTCACTTTGGCCAGTGGTTTGTTGATTTTGTTGATCTTTTCAAAGAATCAATTTTTTGTTTTCTTGATTCTTTCTAGTGTTTTTCTATTCTCTATTTCATTTATTTCTGCTCTGATCTTTATTATTTCCTTTTTCCAGTGGCTGTGGGCTTTTTATGCTATTGGTTCAAGTTGTGTAGCTAATGTTTTGATTTTGTCCCTTTCTTCTTTTTTGATGTGACCATCTATTGCTATAAATTGTCCTCTGAGGAGTGCCTTTGCTGTGTCCCAAAGGTTTTGGTATGATGTGTGTTCATTCTCGTTTAATTCAAGGCATTTTTAATTCCATCTCTGATTTCTTCTTAAAATACCGGAGGCATGCCTTCCAGCATCACAGCAACATGTAAGCCACCACAGTATGACAAACTGACAGAAGAGTGGTGGACTTCTTTTATTAGAATGGACTTAAATATAATTGACCAAGTTTACGAACTTTAAGACTTAAAATTGGCAATCCTAAGAACACTTAGGGTTAGCATTAATCAAAAAATTACTTGGTTCTAATTTAATCATTCCATCTGTAAAACCCTTTTTAAAAAATGAACTTAATATTCATTTAAGGAATTTAACAGGTCTTCTTTACATGGCTTAGCCTGAGTTGGCCACACTTACCACTCACACACAGGATTCAGAATGTGGGACAGGTCACAGCGTTCCAGTTGCAGGACAAGAAATACAGATTCAATCCTCTCTTCTTTTTCCTGCTCATTTCTAGAGGACAGCTGACTCTCTCCTAGGGAACAGAACTACTCAGAATCTAAGCAGTGGGATTAAAGTTATCAATCAAGTTAAAAGCCAAACACTATGGTCAACAATTACTTGAAAACAAAGATGAGAATGTAAGGGGGCAGGGGAACTGGATTAACGGAAACAGAACAAAAGAATGGAAATGAGAATGTTCACGCATCGTGAAGAATGTAACCAATGTTACTGCACAATTTGTGCAGAAACGGTTAAACGGCAACCTAAATTGCTATGTAAACCTTCACTGAAGACACAGTAAAGTATTATTAAAAAAAAAGTTTGGCAAATAAGCCCCCAGATAGTTCCCTGACACTCGACCAGCCTGTGAAGGTCTGTTTCCCGTCAGTTACAATATCCAAGGAAAATATCTATTTCTATAATCTTCATATTTCCTTACCTCTCATGTTATCAAAAATGAGATACTTACCTTTTTAAAAAATAAACCATTTTTGTTCCGTTTTTAGAAAAGCAAACACTGACGTACCGGGAGGTTGTGGTAAACACCTATGTGATATTTATCGCTAGAAAACTCAGACCACACGTCCAGAACAGTCAGCTTCAACATTAAAGAACAAGGTTAAACGTAAAAACTAGACCTATCTTTTCTGGGGGGGCAATGAATAAGGAAGCCCGAAGAAGAACTGACACCTATGAATTCTAGTGTTGGTAAAGAATACTGAATATAATACCACGGACCGCCAGAAGAACAAACAAATCTGTCTTGGAAGAAATACAACCTGAGTGCTCCTTAGAAGCAAGGATGGACTTCGTCTCACATACTTTAGACATGTTACCAGGAGGCATCAGTCCCTGGAGAAGGACATCATGCTTGGGACAGGGTCAGCGAAAAAGAGGAAGACCCTCAACAAGATGGACTGACACAGTGGCTGCAACAATGGGCTCAAGCATAACAACGACTGTGAGGATGGCGCAGGATGGGGCAGTGTTTCGTTCCGTAGTACACGTGGTCACTATGAGTTGGAACCGACTTGACAGCACCTAACAACAACAAGACCTATGTTATGAAGCCTGTAAGGGATAAACATGCAATTTCAAGTAGAGAACCCACACCAAAGGGGTGCGGAAGAAGAAGAGATAGTCAGCTTATAGAGTTTGGCTCTTCCTAAAATGGGTTTAAGGGTCACTTCAGTAATAAATGCTGTTGCTGTCAAGCCGACTCTGACTCCTGAAGATCCTGTGTGAACAGAATAATCTGCTCCACAGGCTTTTCGAGGCTGTGACCTTTCGGAAGCAGATTGCAGGCCTGTCTTCTGAGGCACTTCTGGGTGGGTTCAAACAACAGACAGCTCATAATCAAGTGCTTAACCATTTGTGCCACGCAGGTACTCCTTTTCATAATAAAAGGGCACTCGTAGAAGAAATAATAAAAGCAAGGTTTGAAACATTAGGAAAACACAGTATATTGGATAAAGGCGTCTTCTGACCTACTTTAATAAGAAATTGTTTAAAGCCATCTATAAAAAGAGACAGAAGCTAAAGAGAAGGATGAACACTGTGAAGATGAACTTGTGGTCGGCAGAGCAGACACGTTCGCAGCTGCACGAAGGGTCAATGGGTGCATTAGCCCCCGCCCCCAGGAGAGAACCCCCATGCAGCACAGGGGAGGCTCCCCTGGGTGAGCATCTCGGATCAGGGGAGGCGCAGTGACACAGCTGTGGGTGTGGACAAGCGGGGACTCTGAGAGGGCAAGAGGGACCCTGGCCACTCATCTCCGGCAGGCGGGTGGGCAGTGGGGGAGCAGGTGGAGGGTCCTGTGAGCGTGTCGTGTGCTCGTCTATTCAACATGAACACCACACTCCTGCTGGATCTGTCCACCAGGCCCACTGCCCGGGACGTGGTCCACAGAGAAGACGCACGCCTCCCCCTGCCCCCACTCCCACCTGCGTCACCTCCCGGGCCCACAGCCGTGACCGCCCACTGCCCAGCTCTCCCTCCGTGTCCAGGCAGCGCCCCCATACGTTGCTCAGCGGCTGCTGCTGGGTAAGCCGGACCCCACGGGGGGTTGCAAGCCACGTTACCTGAGAGGCCGCACGGTCCAGACGGCACCTTTCTGGCGGAGAAGCTCGCTCTCTTTTTCCTCAGGTCAACACGTGTCACACAACGATAATGATGTGCTTCAACCAAACTGAAGATCCAAAGCTGCAAAAGCCCAGACACGTGTCTCCCTCCACCAGTGAAACGCGATACGGACTGGAGAGCAGACGAGCAGGCAGGCCGCGTCTCAGCGAGGCCCTGGGGGTCTCCACGGGACTGTCCTCTCTGCGCCGCTACCCACTTTCAGAGCCCCCCTCCGCTGGGCACCCAGGGTCTCGGGACACCTTCTACTTAGCGTCGCAGTGAAGGATACACACTGCAGGTACAGACGTCCCGTGCACATTAAACGTCTTCTAGAAAACACTCCAACTGGGGGGGTTTATCTGCTAACTCCAGTCACGTGCATGGAAACGCACGCGGCTGGGTCTGGCCGTCACACACGGGGCAGAGCAGCCGACTTTGTCAGAAAGAAAAAAATTGTTTCGTTTCCAAAGAGACAATGTATCTTTCCCCAAGTGTTCCAGCAGCCACATTTAAAGAAGAGCACGGTGCCCATGCTTTGTGAGGTAAACCTAAAATGCTCACCTAAAAAGCTAAGCCTTGAAGAAGATTAAGTACAACTTTCAAAAGCACACAGAGCCGGCACTGGGGGCCTCTGGGTGGCTCTCTGTTTCTTGTATCAGAGCCGCACGCGGACCTTCCAAAAACACAAGACCCGGCTCCACACCAGCAGGTCAGAGCGGCCCCAGCTGGCGGGCGGCGTGCTACGCCACCTCAAAGGACACCACGGCCCTTCCCACGGCACAAAGCCCACGGCCACGCCGACCGCACGGTCATGACACGAGACCCTGTGTGCGTGACTCCGTCACCGCAATGCCCGGAATCCGGAGGTGAGTGTGTGCGCCCCTCACCTGGCCATCAGCACACCCGGCGACGAGCTGCTTCGTCTCTTCGTCGACGAACACGCGGAGGAGAGGGTACGCTAGTGACAGAAACACGGCAACACTCAGCGCAAGATCCACCCGAGCACAAGCTGAGCTCTACCCTGCTGTCACGCAGGTCTGCACCACTCCGAGATACTTCTTCACAAAGAAGTAAAAAATATAAAGTTTGAAACTCCATGAGTGTCTGGGAAGATAGGGAAGTTATCCCAAAGCAGCAGCACGGGTGTGGACCCCAGTCTGCCACGGCTGAGTCCTGGGAAATTACCCACTGCTCACCCCCACAAGAAGCCTGGTATTCACACACACCCTTGAAAACTCAATGACCCCACACGGCTTCACGACAGTCGAGAGACCAGTGCCAGTGTTCCGTAAATATTAAACTTGACACAGAGCAAGCCAAAAATAATAAAAGTACAGAAATAATGATGAAAACAGTAATTAAAGGCGTGTCTTTTTTTTTAAATTGTTGCCTATAGTATCATTCCATTAAAAAATTACTCTGAATCTAAAGTGTCAAGAATTTAGAAGGAGAACTAAGGTAAACAGGTATTTTTTTAAAAAAACATTACACGTCCTAAATAAACTATAAATGACATCCAAGATCAAATTTATAATTCAGTTTTCTTGACAGTCAAATCATAATTCCATATACTTTATTTCAGAAAAATAATTCCAAGAAATGTCCCTTCCCCCTGAGAGCGTACATGTTAGAGCACCAGAGTCTACACAGGACAATCAACCTCAGGGAGAACACTGACTCTGGGAAACAGAGGGCAACTGTGCAGGGGCCTGCGGGGTCTGAGTCATCCTGGCTGTTCCTCCCGTGCTACCATCCAAGGAGGGAGCCAGCTTAGGCTCATCATCTCCTCTCCTCTCCAAGAGAAGCAGAGTGTGCACGTAACAAACGCTGGGAAGCAAGTCCCAGGCGGTGTTTGGGGGAAAGGAAGGATTCAAGTTAACGTACGTTTAGGAAATACCACATACAGCACCTCGCTGCCCTGCACTGCCACAGAAGTCTCTAAATTGCTTAATCCTACCCTAACCATAAGGAGCCCTGGTGGCGCAGTGGTTAAGCACTGGACTGCTAACTGAAAGGTTGGAAGTTCAAACCCACCAGCAGCTTAGCGGGAGAAAGACGTGGCAGTCTGCTCCTGTAAAGATTCCAGCCTTACAAACCCTATGGGGCAGTTCTACCCTGTCCTATATGGTCGCTAGGAGTCGGAATCGACTCAACAGTAACAGGTTTGGTCTGATTTCTGGCTATAGCTCTAACCCTAATGCTAAACCCTGACACCAACCCCAAATCCTAACCATAGCCATAAACCCCAGCCCTACCCCTAGGCTGTCATATACTCATTTCATTTACCACCAGGAAGGGTGTGAGGAGAGTAAGTCATCACCCGAGCACCCATGGGTGCTGCGCGCTGGCACCCTTTCCGACCACGCGCACTGGACGTCCAGGCGTCCGAGTGGGTGCGTGCCTTGGTGTGCTCATCTGTGTGAGCAGCGAGGACCCTCCCTCCCCATCGCCCACACGAGGGTGGCCAGGGACACCATCTCATTTTCCCATTTGCTGAAACAGAAAAGCACGTACTCCAAGCACAGGCTTAATCTTAAGTTAAAAACTTCAAGGAAATTAACTGTTCAGTGGATCAACATGTACAAGCGAGGGAAGCAGCTGTCTACGGGTGACGCGTGTTCTGCTCCATCTGCACGTCACGGTTCATCTCATGGGACATCGTATGCACCAGCGGCTCAGACCAGGGGAACGCGGCCCTACCTGTCAGCACTGGCGAGGTGTGCACCGATGTCCCCACACGGCAGTCCCAGACCTGCGACAAACACACACTTCTTCAGAGGAGGCGAGGGCCGTGGCCTGAAGCTATGACGCGCTAACAGCACCCCCCAGTGACCAATTAATCTATGGGAACGAATATCTAGAGAGAACGTAGGAGTCACGTAAGTATACAAATAGTAAAACTCTGGAAAGACAACAAAAAATGGCAAAATCACGGGAAGGAAGGTCAGGCACACTTCCCAGGCCAAGACTCGGGTTAAAGTAAAGTGCTGCTGCAATCCGCGGGGGATTCTGAAATCCATGCTTATTCACCAGGGGCATCCAGAGGCACCTCACACTGGCTCATCGACAGCGACGCCGCCCAGTCTCCTAACCCATCTTTGCCGCGCGGGGTACCGTTATTTCCATTTTACCGATAAAAAAACAAGGCACACATAGGTGACGGGAGGGAGCTGGGATTCCAGTCACAGGGTCTGCTCCGGGGGCAGAGAAAGCACTAAAGCAAACATCTTAAATCGGTGACTCTTACGGGTGTGGAAAAAACGCAGGGATACACATGCAGGAACCACAGGCCACAGAGAACATCCGAGTTTTCACAAGGGCGTCAGCAAAGCCCTCAGCACGTCCCTTACCTTGAAGGTTCTGTCCTCAGACACTGAGATGACAAGGTTTGCCTGCCAAGCACAGAACACCAGCGCGGTCACAGGAGCCAGGTGGCCCCGCAGCTCGGCCAGGACAGACGGGCCCTGGGAGGATTCGTGAGGGGTCAGCGACCAGACTCGTGCAACGTCGTCGCCGGAAACTGCTCAGCTTCACATACCCCCTCCTTCTAAATGCGAGGCGATTTGTGTACAAACTGAGAAGCTATAAACCAAACGGTGGGCCAAGCGAGAAGCAGTTACAGGCCACCGGACCCGAACTTTAGAAGGTAAAGACCAACCCAGGCTAGCCCTGAGCACAACTGGGAAGCAGGCGTCTTCTCTCAGGTTCCCATCTGCCTGCTGCCCACCCTGCACCCACCCACCCTGCACCCGCCCTGCACCCAGCCGCCCTGCTGCCCACCCTGAACCTGCCCACCCTGCACCCGCCCACCCTGCACCCACCCTAACCCCGGCCTGCTGTGCTGCCCACCCTGCGCCCTCCCGCCCTGCACCTGCCCACCCTGCTGCTGCCAACCTTTTTATTTCCACAGCCCCTTAAGAGTGTGTCTGAGACCTGACCTTATCTTCATCATTTCCTCTTTCTGGGTCACCTTATCTTCCTTCAAACTAACGATTTTAAGTTCCTCCTAGTTCATTTGGTCTTCCTCTCCCTGGTATCTAAGATGTTAATTCTTCCTATTCTAATGATTAGTTTTCTTGTTTATAGCCTTGCTAATCCATTTAACCATCAAAATATGTTTGCACAAAACATTTCACATATTTACTGCTCAAATACCAAATTATCCGTGAAGTTTTCCTGACTATTAAACTAGAAAACGATTAAACTCCATCTACCTAACACCTGTTTGTCTGTGATCTCACTTACGTTGTTACTCTTTTAAATGGATGAACCTCAATGTCACAATTAGGCCAAAAATTTTCTGAAGGCAGAAATTACAACTCTCTGTATCCCCAAAAATGTTACACGCTCTATGCCTATGATAACCCATTAATATTTTATGCCTGACAACTTCACCTGACTTTTTAAAAGCAGATTCAGCAAGAACATTCTTTCCAAAATAACTCTGTTAACTGGATTAAGATACAATACCAGGCTTTGGACAATCTCCACAATACACCTCAATGAGAACATAAATTCAGAGGAAACAAAGTTTCCCTTAAAATTCTACCGAACATCTCCTTTCTGCATTGTAATACTTCACATTGTTTTAATACGAGTCATCTCACAGTCAAATGCAAGATTTAAAATCCAATAACTTAACCCCATTAAGGAGTAAGTGAGCAAAGCCAGATTCCTGACAGGAAGCAAACTTTGACAGACAAAAGCACTGTTACACAAGGGCTTGGAGGGGGAGATGAGGGAAGCTGAGGAAGATCAGAGGAGGAAAGGTCTGACTAAACCCTTGTTTAGAGTCATCTCCACTGCAGATCTCCTGCCCACGTTTTATGATTTACATAAAACAGCAGGGTCTGAGCCCGAGGGCTCTGCAGTTGCAAGGGAAGCTGTGTCTGCGGCTGCTTCCCCTAGGCCTTCATGAAACCACGCCCAGGTAAAAAGCGAGACCGCGGCAGCTGTGCAGGAAGGACATTCACCCCTTACCTTGGCGTCCAGCATGAGTATTTTATTCCCAGCGCACACGGCAACGGTACGATCATCCGGACTGAACCGTAGGCAAAGCACCTTCCCCAGCAGCGTGCCCAGGACAGTCCCTCGAGGAGCTGCCCCTGTGGGGTTCAGTGGTCAGTGTCAGCCCAGGAAATGCTTCCACACCCTCCAACTCAGCAACACAATGAGAAATAACGGGCAACCTAAGCCTTCCTGCTGTCCCAGGGAGACAGCGGGCACTGACGTGACTGCTTTCGGCGGCATCAGGAACACTGGCCATACAGCCTCCGCACAGTCTGTGGGCTTGGGGTTGTTTTGCAGCACACGAGGGGCCCGCTTATGCCCCACGCCCCACGGGTGTCCACGCCGCAGGGCCAGGAAGGCACGTGGGCGCTGCACAGATCGGAGCCACCACCAGGATCGCCCAGGGCCGTCCTGGTGAGAATGGTGTGGGGGGCAGGGAGGCAAGGCAAGCGAAGGGCCATCAACGGCCCGCCAGCACCCAGGAGAGAGGGGCTGCAGGAGGGGCTGGGGCAGCAGGGAACCAGCAGAGGGCCATGTGGGAACAAGGGGGGCCGTGAGACTTAGGAAAGGAGTGGCGTGTCCTGGAAGCTGGAAACAAAGTGTTTGGGGAAGAGGCTGAGAGAGGGCATGTGCTCAGCACAACAGGGAAGCTGGTCCTGAGTCATTTCCTTCGTCCAAGTGCACACCCGAGTCAGCATCAGATGTGAGAGCACGTAACTCAGGACAAGTGCACACCCGAGTCAGCGTCACACGTGGGAGCACACGTGACTCAGGACAAGTGCACCACTGAGTCAGCATCACACATGGGAGCACGCGTGACTCGGGACAAGTGCACCACTGAGTCAGCATCACACA